TCCTAAACCCTCAATCCGAGATTCTCAAGCCTAAACCCTGAATCCTCAATCCTAAACCCTAAACCCTAAATGCTAGATCCTGAGCCTGTAACTGCAGGGGTCCTTTGATCGAAAGGGTTTAGGGTTTGTGGCTACGGAAGGGTTTGAGGGTGGCGATGGATTAGGGTTTGGGGTTTAGTATAGTTTATTTAGGCTTCGCTAAGGCATTGGTTTATGTATTTTGTACTTAGGGTTTATTAGAGGATATTAGGGTTTATTTAGGGTTTATAAGGGTTTTATTAAGGTTTTCTTAGGGGCAATCTAGGGTTTAGTAGGGTTTAACAGGGTTAATAACTAATAATAAGGGTTTAGGGTTTAGCTGTGGTTCCCTTTTGTATTTTATCGATTGTTTATCCCAATATATTTAAGTGTATAAGACCTATCTACGGTTTAGGGTTTAGGGTTTAGGGTTTAGGGTTTAGGGTTTAGGGTTTAGGGTTGATTGGGGTGTATAGGCACCTACCTATCTTGATCGGCGACAGATCCAGGTTCCATTCTCCCATAGACATGTTTATTAGTACTTGTAAACTTTTGAATATCAAAATAAACAGAGCCCTCACTGACATAAGCAAAGCCGTTGTTATATATTTCTTCTATTAACAACAACACCTCCTCTATATACTCGGATATACGGGTTACTACTGTCGGCATCCTAAGACAAATAAATAAATAAATAAATAAATAAATATAAATATAAATAAATATAAATTAAATAAACTAATTAATTGATTAGTTAATTAATTAAAATATATAAAGGCATTGACAGGAAACAAAAAGACATTCATTTGTATATATGTGCATTTGTTTATTTATATTTATTAACTTCATTTAATTAATCAATTAATCTATTTATTTATATATTTATATATTTATATATTTATTTATTTATTTATTTATATTTATTTATTTATTTATTTAAATACTGCGCACACGAAGATAGGTAGATGAAAGGAGACAAAACAAATAAATAAAGAAGAGACGGAGAGACACCCGAAGATATTAATAAACATATATTATACTTCAAAATAAATAATAATAAATTTAACAAAATATAATGAAGACAAAGAGACAGAAAGGAGACAGTAAATGAGGGAGGCAAACAAATACAGTAAAACAAAGGAGACAGCAGTTAAAACAACACCCACATCCCTATACACTACAGCACAACACAGCAGCAGCAGCAGCAGCTGCTGCTGCTGCTGCACCTGCAGCAGCATTAGCAGCAGCATTAGCAGCACTAACACACCTAGCAGCAACAGCAGCATCAGCAGGAGGATTGCAATAAGCAATGCAGCATCAGAGTATTATATTGCTGCTGCATCCCTCTCTCTCTCTCTTTATTTTATTCTTACTATTACTAATATTATTATTAATATACATATATATTTATATATATATATATTAATATTAATAATATTGCTTGTTAGCTTACTCTACATTCAGAGCTTTCATGTCTTCAAAGAACTCCTTCTCCCAGTGCCGCGCCAACTCTTGAAAGGGCACACCCTAAACAGCAGCAGCAGCAGCAGCAGCAGCAGCAGCAGCAGTAACAGCAGCATAAGTAGAAGTGGTAACAGCAAAAGCAGCAGCAGCAGCATAAGCAGAGGGGGTCGCAGCAGCATAAGCAGGGATGATAGCTCCAGCACCAGCAGCAGCAGCAGCGGCAGCAACAGCAGCAAGAGCAACAGCAGCACCACCGCTCCCAGCAGCAGCAGCAGCAGCACCACCACCACCAGCAGCAGCAGCAGCAGCAGCACCAGCAGCAGCAGCAGCAGCAGCAACAGCATGAGTAGTCAAATTGAGTGTAGGACATGTGTTTACCTGTTGCATGCTTTTATGTATAATTTTATCGTCTATGTCTGTGATGTTCATAACGAGAGAAACATCATAACCGAAGTAATGCGATAATATTCTCCTAATAATATCAAAAGATATATAAGTCCGTGCATGGCCCATATGAGCAGCATCATATACTGTGGGGCCGCATGCATACCATCTAATACGGTTGCCTTCCTGCAGCAAATCAAGCAGCAGCATATCGTACATCTAAATATGCTGCAGCAGCATGCGCAGCAAATCGAGCACAACCAAAAGCAGCATAATATGTAGCTACAGCAGCAGCAGCAGCAGCACCAGCAGCACCAGCTTCTAGGAAGTAGTTGTAGTTGCTGAGGCACGGGAGAAGCCGACTTTTTCGTGTCCACCCCAGACATGTCAAACCCTAAATTAGGGTTTAGGGTTTATATCCTAGGGTTTATGGTTTAGAGTTTAGAGCTCGGGGCCTAGCACATAGAGCCTATCTAAGCTTCAGGGTTTAGGGTTTAGGGTTTAGGCCTCGTGGCCTTAGGGTGTAGGGTCTAAGGCCTCGCCTTTAGGGTTTAGGGTTTAGGGTTTAGGGTTTACGTGGGGTATGAATTCTGTTTTTCGGCCTGTTAAGGAGTTGTTAACACGAAGACCTGTTATTCTCTTTCCTTCTCTTGAAGGCTCCTTCCAGTCGCAACCAACAGTAAAGCGAGGCCGACCCTCGCTGCTGCTGCTGCTGCTGCTGCTGCTGCTGCTGCTTGGGGCACTCATCGTGGATACACGGCGAGATAGGAAAGAACCAATGCTCCTGCTGCTGCTGCTGCTGCTGTTGCTGTTGAAGATGCTGCTGCTGCTGAAAATGCTGTTGCTGCTGCTGCTCAAAATGCTGCTGCTAAGAGGCAGGTTCTTGGAGGAGAGATAATGCGGCACACGGATGCTTACAAATGCAGAAGACCTGCAGCAGCAGCAGCAGCAGCAGCAGCAACAGCAGCAGCTCAGAGGCAGCAGCAACAGCAGCAGCAGTTCAGCAGCAGCAGTAGCAGCTCAGCAGTAGCAGCAGAGACGTCATTCTCAGGTTACAAGCAACACAGTGTACTGTGCCTTAGATGTTTCTGCTTCATGTGCTGCTGCTGCCTAGGCTGAGCAGCAGCAGCAGCAGCAGCGGCAACAGCAGCAGCAACAACAGCAACCGCAAAAATAGTAGAGGGAAGAGGAGCGTACTTGATTGTATGAGGCAGCAGTTTAGCTGCTGCTGCCATACAATCGTAGTTCCTGTTGCTGCTGTGGGGCCCCGAGGCGGCAGCAGCAGCAGCAGCAACGGCGAGCAGCACAGCAGCCCTAGGGTTGATTCTGTTGCGGTTGCTGCTGCTGCAGCTAGCAAATAAATATATGCAGAATATAAATACAAAGAGAGCCGTCAAAGACAACCCAGAAGAACCACTAATAAGCATAGCTCGTGGGGTCGCTGCTGCCGCTGCTGCTGTTGCTGCTGCTGCTGCTGCTGCTGCTGCTGCGGCTGCTCGTGTCGTTAGGCGTGTTTGTCTTTTTCAGGGTTTTCCCCTGGTAGAAGCATCAAATTAAATAAGGTATTTAGAAAATACTGCAGACACCTGAGACCAGTAGCAGCAGCTGCGGCCGCTGCTGCTGCTGCTGCTGCTGTTGCTGCTGCTGCTGCTGCAGTCAGCTGCAGCAGCTGGCGTTGACGCTTGAGGCGAGCTCTGAGGTGTCTATACACATCAGTTTAATCTTACAGGTTGTTTATGCTGCAGTTTAGACATTCTTCATGCTGTCTACTGAACCCGCAAACCCTAAACCCCAAACCCTAAACCCTAAACCCCAAACCCTAAACCCTAAGCCTCCCGGGGGTGTGTGTACACCAGCGGCCCTGAGTCTCTAGATAACCCTAAACCCTAAACCCTAAACCCTAAACCCTCAGACAGTCTAGCCGTTTCTAAGGTACGCTCAAACCTGAAGATGCCTTTAGGGTTTGTTTCTCTGCAGCAGGGCAGGGTCTAAGGAGGTTTAGGGTTTAGGGTTTAGGGTTTAGGGTTTACAGAGTAAGGCCTAGGCTTTATGGCTTGCGGTTTAGAGTTTTAGGGTTTAGGGTTTAGGGTTTGGAGGTTAGAGTTGAGGGTTTAGGGTTTACCCCAAAATAGCTGTACGTACACCCCAAAGAGTTGTGCATACACCCGAAATAGATATATGTACACCTCAAGGAGATGTATATACACCCAAAGGAGGTGTATATACACCCCAGAGGAGGTGCATATACACCTCAAGGAGGTTAATATACGCCATAAAGAGGTGCACATACACCTCAACGAGGTATATATATATATATATGTATATGTATATATATATATATATATGGTGTGCATACACCCAAATGAGGTGTACATACACCTCCAGAGTGATATAAAATGTGTGGGGCGTCTTTTTTGCTGCGCTTTGCTGCAGCAGTCTGTAGACGAAGTGTCTCTCGCATGCAATCTGCATGCAGTAGCATCTGTCTCTGTCTCCTTCTGTCTTTGTTTGTGCTTGCTGGTGTTGTGCTCCTACATTCTCTGCTGTCTCCCTTTGTCTGTTTGTCTCTGTCTTTCTCTTTTTGTTTCTGTCTCCATGTCTCTCTGTTTGTCTCTGTCTGTCTCTTTTGCTGTCTCCTTCTCTTTGTTTGTCTATCCAAATGTCTGTCTCTTTCTCTTTCTTTCTCTCTGTCTCTTTATCTGTCTCTGTCTCTCTATCTGTCTCTGTCTCTTTACCTGTCCCTGTCTCTCTATCTGTCTCTTTTCTGTCTCTTTATCCGTCTCTTTTCTGTCTCCTTATCTGTCTCTGTCTCTTTTTCATTCATTGTCTCTTGATGTGTCTCATCATCTTTTTCTCTCTTTTAATGCCTCCTCCTTTGTCTCTCTATCTCCTTATCTGCAGTTTTATCTTCATCTCTTCTCTGTCTCTTTATCTGTCTCCTTTTCTGTCTCTTTATCTGTCTCTTTATCTGTCTCTTTATCTGTCTCTTTACCTGTCTCTTTACCTGTCTCTGTCTCTGCATACACCCGACACCGCAGTCCAAACCAACAGATATTTGCATCGTCTTACATCCTCAACAGAGGCAAGCAAGGCCTCTAGCTAGCTAGCTAGCTAGCCAGGTAGCTAGCTAGCTAGCTAGCTAGCTACCAGAGCTAGCTAGCTAACTAGCGAGCCACCACAGCCAGCTAGGTAGCTAGCTAGCCACCACAGCTAGCTAGCTAGCTAGCTAGCTAGCCACTGAGCTAGCTAGCTACTTAGCTAGCTAGCCAACACAGTTAGCTAGCTAGCTAGCAATATATATTTATAAAGACCTCCAATTGGTTTGGAGTTCAAACCTAAAAAGACCTTTACAGAAAAGGCTGCGAAGATGCAGCCAAAAGAACCCTGGCTCTACAAGCCATAGAGTTTAGGGTTTAGGGTTTAGGGTTTAGGGTTTAGAATGCTTGGGACTAGGGTTTAGGGTTTATAAAGGCCTAAAGATGCCCCATGTGCCTCTAATAAAACGCTGCGAAAATTAAACACTTAAACCTTAACCTGCTGCTGCTGCTTTTGCAGCTCCTGCTGCTGCTGCTGTTGCTGCTCTTGCTGCAGCTCTTGCTGCCGCTTTTGCTGCCTCCCCTCTGCTGCAGCTCCAGCTGCAGCACCTCCAGCAGCATTACCTGCAGCAATTGATTCGAGCAGCAGCTGCTGCTGCTGTGGTGGCTTGCTTCCGCATGCTACCGTTGTTGTGTGCTGCTGCTGCTGCTGCTGCTGCTGCTGCTGCTGCTGCTGCTGCTGCTGCTGCTGCTGCTTATGCGCGTTGTGCAACAGAAAGGAAGTCATCGAAGGCCCTATTAACTGCAGCGCCTGCTGGTGTTTTGTTGCCTTCCTGCAGCAGCGTATTAGCAATTCTATCTACCCAATCGATGTCTTTCTTGCTGCTGCTGCTGCTGCTGCTGCTGTTGCTGCTGCTCATGAAGGCCCCTACTGCAGCAGCAGCGCGCGAAGCCACATCACTCGCCTGCGAAGGGCTCAGTCCCCCCAGAAGAGACAAAACAGACTTCTGCTGCACCCCCGGCTGCTGCTGCTGCTGCTGCTGCAGAACGGGTTGCTGCTGCAGCTGCTGCTGCTGCTGCAGAATGGATTGCTGGGGCGGGGCTGTTACATTCTGTTGAGGGTGCTGCTGCTGCAGTGCTAGGTGCTGCTGCTGCGGCTCAGCTTGCTGCGCCGAAGTAAACAACTGAATCTGCGGGGGATATTGCTGCTGCTGCTGCAGCGGCTGCGGTATCTGCTGCTGCTGCAGCTGCTGCGGTAGCTGCTGCTGCGGTAGCTGCTGCTGCGGTAGCTGCTGCTGCGGCAGCTGCTGCTGCGGCTGCAGCAGAGGGTCGCCAAACCGCTGCTGCTGGGTGGGCTGCTGCTGCAGCAGCTGCTGCTGTGGCAGCATTGAATGAAGCGGCATCTCAGGCATCAGTGGCTGCTGAAGCGCGTCTTGCTGCAGCAGCATGTTCTGCTGCAGCAGCAAGTCTGGCTGCTGCACCAAGTTTTGCTGCTGCAGCAAGTCTTGCTGCTGCACCAAGTTTTGCTGCTGCAGCAAGTCTTGCTGCTGCGGGAGTGAAAGGGTATGAATGAGCGTAGCGCTGTTAGCAGGCGAGCCGAATGGCTGCTGCTGGAGTTGCTGCTGCTGCATGTGCTGCTGCAGCAGCTGCTGGCTGACAAGTTGCTGCTGCTGCAGCTGCTGCTGCTGCACTTCTTGCTGCTGCTGCAGCGTGTTTGCTGAGGCGTCCAACGCAGCATCTGCTGCAGAGGCCCCAAAGACAACTGCCGGAGCCCTCGTGGGTCCCCCTAAGAAAGGTGCTGCTGTTGCTGCTGCTGCTGCAGGTGGTGGTGCTGCTGCTGCAGTAAGACCTTGAGCGGTGAGTGGGAGCTGCTGCTGCATTGCTGCTGCAGCAGCAGGGAAAGCAGCAGCAGGAGCTATCGGAGCAGCAGCAAGTGAAGGTGTTGTGTGCTGCAAGATGGTTTGCTGAGGAATTGCTGTTGCTGCTGCTGGAGTGTTTAAAGGTGGTAATGCTGCTGCTGATGCTGCTGTAGGCGCAGCAGTTGCTGCAGGCTGCTGCTGCAGCTGCTGCAGCAGCTGCTGCGCCTCAGGAGCTTTATCTCTTAACAGCTGAGCTATCTTTAATGTCGCCCCAAGCCCTTGCGCCATACGAGCGGTGCTCCCCTCTATTTCTTTTTTTTGTTGTTTTTGTTTTTTTGTTATCTCCCAGGCAGCAAAGGCTTCAATAGGTCCTGCTGCTGCATCTGCTGCATCTCCTCCATCTGCTGCAGCAGCAGCAGCAGCAGCAGCAGGGCCTGTCTTGTGGCGACGGCACTCACATATAGCCTTCTGCCCCCGAGAGCGCATGCTAATCGTGTGTCTGTACACCTCGTACTCGTGGGTCTCTGTCTTGCTTAATCCGCATGTATCTAAACCCTAAACATACAAACCCCAAACCCTAAACCCTAAACCCTAAACCCTAAACCCTGGGGGATAGATGAGACACTAGGCACCTAAAAAATACCCGATCTCTCTTTCGCACAGATACGCATTGAAGCGCCCGTTCACTAACAACCCCAAACCCTAAACCCTAAACCCTAAACCCTAAACCCTAACCCCTAAACCCTAAACCCTGAACCCATACCCGCCAACCCCTATACATTGCTCCTTACTTAATCCCTAAACCCTAGACCCCCCCTCCAGAAAACCCTAAACCCTCAACCCTCTCCCCGTAAACCCTAAACCCTAGACCTTCCCCCCTCCCCCCCCATAAACCCTAAACCCTAAACCCTAAACCCTAGACCCTAGAGGATGTCATACTTCGTAGGTGGTGGTTGCACAGAGTGCATTCTGCATGGGTACGAAGTGAGCCCTGCAGTGTTTTTGCGTCTCAGCTGTATTATTTAAAGTTAAAGGTCTCTGCTTCCAGTCTCTTGGTGCTGCTGCTTCAGGGACGCAGCAAGTCATCCCCGCTCCAGCACACCGTACAGCAGGCTGCATCCCTGCATATTCACAAACCCTAAACCCTAAACCCTAAACCCTAAACCACATAAACCCTAAACCCTAAACCCTAAACCCTAAACCCTAAGCATCGAACCCTAGATAGGTAGAGAGCGAAACGCACACGCAATACTAACTCTTCAACCCGTTCATATATTTGCACATAAACCAAGCAAACGGATTAGGGTTTAGGGTTTACGGTTTAAAGGGTTTTGTCGGTATAGAAGGTTTATTGTCCTGGGGTTTAGGGTTTAGAGAGCGTAGAGATTTAAGGCGATTAGGGTTTGGAGTGTTTTAGGGTTTACAGGAAATAGCAGATAAGTTGTTTTAGGGGTTTGTGTGCTGCTGTGTTTGAAGTTAGAACTGTAGGGTTTAGGGATTAGGGTTTAGGGGTTAGGGTTTAGGGTTCCGTGCTTAAAGTCTACGGTTAAGATTTTGAGGGTTTAGGGTTTAGAGTTTGAGGGTTTAGGGTTTATGGTTTAGACTTTGAGGGTTTAGGGTTTCGGGTTTATGGTTTAGACTTTGAGGGTTTAGGGTTTAGGGTTTATGGTTTAGACTTTGAGGGTTTAGGGTTTAGGGTTTAGGGTTTAGGGTATATATATATATGCTGACTTGGATCATCAACATCGACCCCCAGATGGTTTTTGATGCCTTCTTGCTGCACTTGTTTTGCTGCTGCTATCATCTGCTCCATCGGGAGGGAGTTCATAATGCTGTTACCTGCATCAGCAATCTTACTAGTAGCAGCAGCAAAGTTTGTAGCCCCGTTTATTAAAGCAGGAGCAGACAGCAGCTCACCTGCTGCTAGACCCGCAAGGGGGGCCCCCAATGAGGCCCCTAGGGGGCCCCCCAATGAGGCCCCTAGGGGGCCCCCCAATGAGGCCCCCAGGGGGCCCCCTATGAGGGCCCCCCCTACAGATTCTGTGCTTCTAGTAACAGAGTCGGGGGCCCCCAAGGAGACAGGTAAACCCACAAGGGGCCCCAGATGGTTTACAGTGTTTTCAATTGCTGCTAAGGGCATCCGCAGCAATCCTGCAGCACCAGAGTTGCTTTCTGCTGCTGCTGCTGCTGCTGCGGAGGCAGCGGCGGCGTCTGCTGCTGCTGCTGCCTCAGGGGACGGAAGAGGAGGAGTTAAAGGAGGGCTCAGATCAGAGCCCGCTTGCTCCAAGTGCTGCTGCACCAGCTGCTGCTGCAGCAGGTGCTGCGGAGACAAACCCTGCTGCTGCTGCGGTGCCTGCGGCTGTTGCTGTTGCTGCTGCTGCTGCTGCGAATGCCACTCTGCTGCTGCCGCCAGCGCGTCGGGAAGAACCTGCTGCTGCTGTTGCTGCTGCTGCTGCTGCTGCTGCTGGAGGGCCCCAGGCGCATGCAAAGGAGCGGTTCTGAGGGGGGCCGCCTCAAGATAAGAAGACAGCATATCTGGTGACTCGCCATATACCCCCTCTAGAGCCTTCAGCTGCTGCTGCTGCTGCTGCTGCTGCTGCTGCTGCTGTTGACGCTGCTCCAGCTGCTGCGAAATCAATCGCTGCTGCTCCTGCAGCAGCTGCAGCTGCTCCTGCAGCGCTGCGTCCGTCGGGTAGTGAGGCTGCTGCTGCAGCGGTTGTTGCTGCAGCGGTTGTTGCTGCAGCGGCTCTTGCTGCAGCGGCTGTTGCTGCAGCGGTTGTTGCTGCAGAGCTTGCTGCTGCAGCGGTTGCTGTTGCAGCGGTTGCTGCTGCAGCGGTTGCTGCTGCACAGCTTGCTGCAGCACAGCTTGCTGCTGCAGCGGCTGCTGCTGCAGCAACTGTTGCTGCAGCGGTTGTTGCTGCAACGGTTGCTGCTGCAGAGCTTGCTGTTGCAGAGCTTGCTGCTGCAGCGGTTGCTGCACCAACGGCTGTTGTTGCAACGGTTGCTGCTGCAACGGTTGCTGCTGCAATGGCTGCTGCTGCAGCGGTTGCTGCTGCAATGGCTGCTGCTGCAGCGGTTGCTGCTGCAGCGGTTGCTGCTGCAGCGGTTGCTGCTGCAGCGGTTGCTGCTGCAGCGGTTGCTGCTGCAGCGGTTGTGGGAATTGCGTTTGCTGCTGTAGGGGCTGCAGCGGGTAGGCCTGCTGCTGTTGCAGTTGCTGCTGCGGAGCCAGTTCCTGCTGCAGCTCCTGTTGCAGCTGCTGCTGCGGCAATATTTGTTGCTGCTGCTGCAGCGGTTGCTGCAGCTGTTGCTGCAGCACCGGTTGCTCCTGCAGAGGCTGTTGCAGCGGCTGCTGCTGCAGCTGTTGCAACTGCAGCGATTGATCTTGGAGCGGCTGCTGCAGCTGCTGCAGCTCCTGCTGCTGCAGCGGTTGCTCTTGGAGCGGCTGCTGTGTCAGTTGGTTGTCCAGTTGCTGCTGCGGCGGCAGCTGCTGCTGCGGTTGCTGCTGCAACAGCTGTGACGTTGGCGGTTGCTGCTGCAGTTCTTGCAGCGATTGATTTTCTTGCTGCAACGGCTGCTGCACCTGTTGCTGCTGCAGCTCTTGCAGTAACAGCTGCTGCTGTGCTGGTTCCTGTGCCGGCAGCAGCTCCTGCTGCTGCTCTTCTGTAGGCTGCTGCAGCGTCTGCTGCTGCAGCGTCTGCTGCTGCAGCGTCTGCTGCTGCAGCGTCTGCTGCTGTAACGGCTGATGCTGCTGGTCGTCCTGCTGTAGATCGTCATGCTGCTGCTGCTGCTGCTGCTGCTCTTGTTCGTGCTGCTGCGGCTGCTGCTGCAGTTGCTCCAGCGGTATCTCGGGGAAGTCCTGCAGCAGGAGATCTTGCTGTAGTGGAGCTGTCTGCTGCGGCTGCTGCAGCAGCAGCTGCTGCAGCTGCTCCTGCTGCGGCTCCTGCTGCTGCTCCTGCTGCGGCTCTTGCTGTTGCTGCAGCTGCTGCTGCTGCACTGCTACTTGCAGTTGCGATTGCTGCAGCTGCTGCTCTTGTTGTAGCTGCTCCCCTTGCTGCAGCTGCTGCTGTTCCTCTTGCTGCTGCTGCTGCAAATGCTGCTGCTCCTCTTGCTCTTGGTGCTCTTCTTTCAGGTTTTCTTGCTGCTCTGGTTGCTGCTGGGATTGAGTTTCTGATGCCGCTAGGGTTGCTTCTGCTGCTGCTGTTGCTGCTGCAGCGGGTGCAGCAGTAACATCTCCACCTAACTGTGGCCTCTGTTGCTGCTCCATGTGCTGCTGCTGCTGCAGCTGCTGTGGTAGTTGCTGCTGCGCCGGCTGCAGAGGCTCCCACAGCTGGTGCTCCTGCTGCAGCTGCTGCTGCTGCTGCTGCTGAAGTGTGTCTACCTGCTGTTCCTGTTGCTGTGGGGCTTCGAGTACGGAGGGGGTGCCAGAGGTTGCTGCTGCTGCATTTGCTGCAGTTGCTGCTGCAGTTTCTGTTGCTGCAGGTGCTGGTGCTGCAAGTGCTGGTGCTGCAGGTGCTGGTGCTGCAGCAGGCTGCTGCATAAGGGTCTCCTCCGCAGCAGGTTGTAGCAGCAACTGCTCTAGTAGCTGCTGCTGTTGGGGGTTCAGTAGCTCCGTCTCCTCCTTCTCTTCTTGCTGCTGCTGCTGCTGCTGCTGCTGCTGAGGAGGCAGCAGCGGATCAGTAGAGAAACCGCTAAGGAGTGCTGCAGGGGCTTCTGACATCGTGGGTGTATCTGCTTCAATTGCACCTGTTATAAAGCTTAGGGGAGATGTGCTTCTGCTCCTGCTGCTGCTGCTGCTGCTGCTGCTGCCAAAGACAGACTGCAGCAACGGGAACTTAAGAGACCTCCCTCCTGCTGATCGACCAACTGCAGCAGGGCCTTCATCATCATCCTGCTGCTGCTGCTGCTGCTGCTGCTGAGAGGGGGCACGGAGAAGGAAAGGACCTGCTTGCAGAGAGCCCAATAGGGCTCCCGCCGGGCCTGCAGCAGCAGCAGCAGCAGCAGCAGCAACAGCAGCAGCAGCTCAGCAGCAGCGTGCGAATGAGTGCATTGTTAGGGACCAACGGCAAGGACAGCAGCAGCAGCAGCAGCAGCAGCAGCAAGCAACAAGTGCTGCAGCAACGCCAGCAGCAGCAAGCGCAGCACCAAAAGAAGCAACTAGGCTGGCAGCAGCAATATAAGCAGCAGGAGAATAAGCAGCAGCAGTAGCAAGAGCAGCAGCAGGATGGGGAGAAGCGGCAAGAACAGCGGAAGCAACAGGAGCAGCAGCAAGAGCAGCAATACCAAGAGCATCCGCAGCTAGAACTGCAGCAACAAGAGCAGCAGCAGCAAGACCGAAAAGCAGCAGCAGCAGCAGCAGCAGCAGCAACAGCAGCAACAGCAAAATATAGCTCCTTGGGCTTACCACCCAGTGCATATTGATGAGGCCCCGCTGCAGCAGCAAGAATAACAGCAGCAGCAAGAGCAGGAGGAAGCCTCCAGAAGCATCCGCAGAGGGTAGTCGCCGAAGGGCCCCCCATAGTATGTATGCACAAACCCTAAACCCTAAACCCTAAACCCTAAAGTGTACAGTTTAAACGAGCGGTCTCAATAGGAAGACAACCTGGAGGAGGAACCGAAATAAGTTTGCTGTCTGCATAAATGAAAATAATGACCTTCTTAGGGTCCTTAAAACCTTCAAAATGATAGAAATACAAAACCCTAAACCCTAAACCCTAAACCCTAAACCTTAAACCCTAAACCCTCGCCGGTTGAGCAGCGAAGCACAGAGAGTTAGGGAGGAGAGGGGGAAGAAACATGTGGTGTTTTAAGCATTTAAAGTGGAAAAGAAATACAGAAAGAAACCCTAAAAGCTAAACCCTAAACCCTAAACCCTAAACCCTAAACCCTAAACCCTAGGGGGGACCGGTCAGGTGACTCCCCGCTCCGCGCTGTGATAGGGTGCCCTGAGGCAAGGGAGATAGAAATATGTTTATAAATAAAAGTATTTGCTTTTTTATTTTATTTATTTAATTTTAAATACTCTAACTATTCTTTTTTTAGCTGCATGTACACCGCATTTCAGCCGTCTCCTCACCTAGCAAGCAAACCCTCCTTTCGGTGTACAGCGAGGTAAGGGCTTCTTCTTTTATTTTATTTTATAAATAGCTAATAGATATATCAATAAAAGAATATGTTAGTTAAATATAGTTAAATTTTATATAAATATCTTTATATTAAACAAAGAACTTCGCATAAAGTAGACAAGGTAATATTATTTCTTTATTTATTAACTCAACCTCAAAACCAGTAATTTATTTCTTTACAATATTTTCTTCTATCATAATTTTATTTTTATTTTTTAGTTAATTGTCTATTTAAAAATTAAGTTAACATCTTCTGCATCCGCAAACCCTCTATTCCTGCAGCATTCTCAGGTGTATCGACACAAGGGGCCCCTCCAAGGGGCCCCCCTGTACGCCTGCTGCTCCTTGGGGGGCCCCCCTATACCCCTGCTGCTCCTTAGGGGCCCCCCTGTACCCACTGTGGTGTCTGTGGGGCCCCCCTGTACCTTTTGTGTTACTTGAGGGGGCCCCTTGTACACCCTGTGGTGTCTGGGGGGCCCCCCTATACACCTGCTGCTCCTTGAGGGGGCCCCCAGGGGGCTTAGGGGGCCCCCAGAGCGAAGCACTTTAAAAGACTGAGTCAGCTAAACAACTGAAGACAGCGGAAGAGGGGCCCCTTAGCCTTTGTACAGCAAAAGGCATGCATGAGTGAGGCTTATTAGATAAGGAGGGTATATGAGATGCATGCAATATAAAACATATCTCTCTGTTTATGTTTGTCTCTTTGTCTTTGTTTGTCTCTGTTTGTCTCCTTGTCTTTATTTATCTCTTAGTCTCTTCCTCTTTCTTTGTCGCTGTCTCGTTTCTTGTTTGTATGTTTCTATCTGTCTCCGTTGCTATTCTGCTGCTGCTGCTGCTGCTGCTGCATCAAAAGCTGTAGACTTCAGGGTTTAGGGTTTAGGGTTTAGCAGCTTGTGGGTTTAAACCCTTAAGCCTTTAGGACTACGGGTTTGCGAGTTCGTCCCCGGCTTGGGTTGGGGGAACCCAGTTAGGGTTTAGGGTTTAGGGTTTAGGGTTTAGGGTTTAGGAGTCTCCCTCGGGGTTAATATCAGAAAATTAGCAGCCGCTGCGGCCTCCTCTCGGATTGGCTGCAACAGGTTGAGGGTTTAGGGTTTAGGGTTTAGGCTGTGCACAGGCGCTGCTCGGAGGCTCTTTGGCCTCCATAGTATAAACCCTAAACCCTAAAGTATTCCTAAACCCTCAATCGTACACTTTGACGAAACCCTAAACCCTAAACCCTAAACCCTAGCTATAACACGAGTTGTAGAGTTGACACTGCGTTTTCAGGAGCTTCTGCCTCTGATGTTTTGAGATACGATAAATTAGGGTTTAGGGTTTAGCGTTTAGGGTTTAGGTAGGTGTGTATATGGGCGGTCAAGGCACAACAAATAGCAGCAGCAGCCCTCCCACTGCAGCAGCAGCAACAGCAGCAAAAGGAGAAGGAGACAAAGGAGACACCCCAGACACCGTACTTAGATCCACACCACTTGCTTTTCTCTCTAAGAGGTCCTCATACTGCTCAGCCCTGCAGCAGCAATGAAACAGAAACACAATACACACTGCTGCTGCTCCTGCTGCGGCTGCTGCTGCTGCTGCTGAAGCTGCTGCTGCTGAAGCTGCTGCTGCAGCAGCAGCTTCCGCTTATTTGCAACAGCAGCAATTGAAATGCTCAATCAATTCGGCAGCGAAAGAAGCAGCAGCAACAGCAGCAAAAACAGCAGCAGCAGCAATAACAACAGCAGCAACAGCAGCACTAGCAACAACAGCAACAGCAGCTGCAGCAGCAGCACCAGCACAAGGACCAACAGCAGCAGCAGGATCATCGGCAACAGCAGCAGCGCCAACAGAAGCAGCAGCACCACCACCAACAGCAGCGCCAACAGCAGCAGCAACAGCAGCAACAGCAGCAGCAACAGCAGCAGCAACAGCAACAGCAGCCGCAGCAGCAGCAGCAACAGCAGCAACAGCAGCAGCAGCAGCAACAGCAACAGCAGCAACAGCAACAGCAGCAGCAGCAGCAGCAGCAGCAAGAGCAACAGCAAGAGTGGAGATTACGAGAAGAGCTGCTGCCCATCAGTGGGTGTGGGTTCAAAGAAGCAAAGCAGGAAATTAAATTGAGGGCAGCCGTGCGAGAAGGCACAACCAACTCTGCTGCTGCTGCTGTTCAGCAGCAAACTGCAGGCCCAAGCAGAAGGAGACGCCCAAGCTGTCCCCTCGCCGTACGCAGGAGGAGGAGAACTGCAGCAGCAGCAGCAGCATCAACAGCAGCAGCAGCAGCACAAACAGCAGCAGCAAGAAAAGAGCCATGAGAAACAGACGCAACAGCAACAGCAGCAGCAGCAGCAGCAGCACAACACCCGATACAACAGGAGCAGCAACAGCAGCAGCTACAGCAACAATAGCAACAGGTAAAGCACCTGCAGCTGCAGCAGCAGCAATGAGTAAAGCAGCAGCAGCAGCGAACAAGAACTTGACAAAAGAAAAGAGACAGAGGAGGAGACAGCGCGAGGAGCCAAGAAGAAGAGAGACGAACAGACACGCATTATTATATAATATAATATATTTATAAATATATTATATATATAATAATATTATTATATATTATCTATTTACCTCCCCCACTCATGCACACACTCCTCAAGTGTTTGCTGCAGCAGAAGGAGACAGGGTGGAACTGTCTCCTCGAACCGCAGCAGCAGCCCTCCGATCTGCAGCAGCAAGCAGCATATACATTCTTCGTCTGTTCTTTTCTCTCTCTTCTTCTGTCTCTCTTCTCTGCTGCGCTGTCTTCATCATTTAATCAAATTAAAAAAATATATATTTGCGTCAGGCTTGCACTGTACGTACACCCGAAGAATGACCCTAAACCCTAAACCCTAATCTTCATTTTATATCTTAATGCGAGGGTTTAAGGTTTAGGGTTTAGGATTAGGGTTTAGAGTTAAAGAACTAGGGTTTAGAGTAAAGGGATTAGTATTAAACGCTTAGGGTTTAGGGTTCAGAGTTAAACGTTTAGGGTATAGAGATTAGAGTTAAGGGTTTAGAGTTAAATGCTGCTTGGGGTTTAGGGTTTAGAGTTAAATGCTGCTTAGGGTTTGGGGTATAGAGTTAAATGCTGCTTAGGGTTTAGGGTTTAGAGTTAAACGCTTAGAGTTTAGGGTTTAGGGTTTAGGGTTTAGGGTTTAGGGTTTGCCTCTTGTCCGGTGGCCTTAGCCCCCAATATGCATCCATCCTTTGCTAATTCTTTCACAGTTTTTCTTGCTTTGTCTCCTAGCAGTTTATCTGCAGACACCTTTCCTAAAGGCTTCTGAAGATGAGCTGCTCTAAAGGTGTTGATATCTTTATAACACTCTGCAGAAGCAGCAGCAA